AGTAAATATTTTTGAGTTTTGAATTTTGTGTATAAATCAACACCAACGCCTCAAAGGCGAAAAGGAAGGCAAGACTGTTAGAATTGCTATTGTAAACATGAGCAGTTTCGGGCATAAACATAAAATTGAAACGAGTAATTTTTACACATCTGATTGACTAAATTCAGGAAGCCATTTAAGTGTACGCGTATTTGTTACAATTCCGATCAGCTCTGCCGTGCAGCACGGCAGAGCCAGAGGCAGAGTAAATTGTAAACAAATTGTAAGCTTGTGAGAATCAAAGTTCAAAACTCAAAAATATTTACTGGGTACATGTAAAACAAAGACCTAACATCTAAATTCTCAAAAGTAGCTTTAATACTGTCAAATTTTCCGAAGTCTGATTTAGTTGTTTCAAAAGTATAGAATACACACACACTTCTGTATGGATTTCGTACATGTTCTGCATGTCTTACAGTAAAAATGCAAAAATTGTCCCACTTCCGCGGTTTGTTGTGATTTACTGTAATTTGTTCTGTTTTTCTGTAGCGGTTGCCGATTTATCGGCAAATACCGCGATAAAACGTAGTTTTCTTTATTTATTTTATTCTACAGCATTTATAGTTCTACAGCTATCTTATACAGTTTTATAATATAATAGTGAATGATTCCGAATATTCAAAACGGACTGAAAGAATGAAAGCAGTAAACTGCTCACTGGTCACTGGGACGAAGGATAAACCGAAAATTCACTTCTCTCCATGACAAGCTTTTATAATGTTCAGTCGATCCGCTACATTCAAAGATGAGTACTTGGCTATTTTTTGGCAGGGGTAACGAAATATATCGGCTGTTCTCTAAGTGTTTCTTAATGCATTGGCCATCGGAATATAATATAACTACATAACTCATAAGCTTGATAGGTATGTGACGAGTTTCACAGGCACAATCCTATTTTAAATACTATGGCTTTTGGCAGTTTTGCATCATATGTGCAGTAAAAGCCCATGCATTTTTCTACTTCCTCAATGTGTAAAAAGCGAAAAAACTTTATTAATAAGAGCAAAAATTTATAATAGTAAACAGTGTATTTTATTATAAAGGATTTTCATTTTTCTACTGCTCCGTAGTTTGTGTGCTCCGTGTGTTCCGTGCTCCGTGTTTTACTAATAGCCGTTATCAAATGCCCCACCACATGGAAGACCTAGAACGTCAAATTCCCTACTCCCTGGAGAAGAAGACTTGAAGTCAAATTCCCGGGGAATGCCCGGGGGAGGGGGGATGATGAAGTTTCGAATTGATTGGTACATAAGCTTCTAATTTACAGTAAAGATTAACCTGCAGTCTACTATGTTGACAATAGTCGTTTCAATTCTTTCTTTCCTCGTTTTTCTTGACATTCTCGTGTAGTCGTGCATTATTAATAAAAAATATTACAGAATAAAATCATCCGATTTTTCTAGTTTTGAAATAAACTGATATTTTCTAGACAAAGAAATTAAAGCACATAACAACAGCAACATTTCATTAACATACATTCGAACATACCATCTTTTTGCACGTGCTGCACACCGACTGCCGTCCCAGCCAATCTATCTGCTACCAAAACTCGTAAAGTAAATGGATTATATTTATCTGTGTAAAGCTTCATTGAAAAGAAACGGCGAAATAATAACTCTGTACTCCTTGATACACGAAACGAAGTTGAAGAAACGTTTCTAAATGATCTAAAAATCACAAACATAGATTCATATTTGATGATTCACTTGCTTTACATGAAGAAAGGGTGAAAAGGGGAGGTACATGGATATTCATGGGTATTCATATGGGATAAGTGGGATAAGAGATATATGCTGTGTTTATTAGTTATTGGGTATCTGTGGTTTTATAGACTGCAAGCGGTTCCTCCTTTCCGCGGGTTCAGCTCTATGGTTCAGCTTCCCGGAGTGGAGTATGAAACGACCGACCCGATACCTCCCAGCTAGAGTGATGCGAGATCCCGCCTTGTCGGGCTATAACTTATAAACTCATAGAATGCAGTAAGACTTGTAAAATGACATAAGTTACTGAACAATTTATGCGCGGATGAGATTTCGTTCATTTCTATGTCAGTGTGAGGCCGTGAGGGTGGCGACAAACGTTTTTATTTATGCGTAATATGCGCAGAAGACTAGAGAAGAGTGAAAAAAGTTAATCCTTGACATTCTTGCGTTGCTGGGGAGAAGCAGAGCGCAATTTTTCCTCCTAAATTTATTTCATCCGGTTAAATTTCCTGGACATATCAACATATTAAACATAGGGGCATATCAACATCCCAATATCTGAAACTAGGGACGATATGCAACAGAAAGCGGCAAAATTCGAGGATATGAAGGGGTAATAAGGGAACTAATTTTTAGGCGGGAAAACATGAAATATATTTTAAAAATTAGAATTTTTGAAATCTTTCAGAGCTGAGAAAATTTAACATTTTATAGGCCTTATTAAAAGGCTTGAAATATGTCTGAAAGTAAGGAAAAAGCCTCTCAAGAAAACTGGAGAAAGCCAGTGAAAAGTATTAAACTTGTAGTAAAGAAACGAACGCGAAAATCAGAGGATAAATCGTCAAACATTTTACAGACAAGAAATTTGAACACCGAGGAAGAAGCCCTGCCAGCAGGTCAGTTGAAAAGACTTAATCCATTTGGTTGTTCAGCAAGCAAGAAAGCAAATATCGCGAGAGTTTCAGAGAATGAAGAAAATGTTAAATTATTTAATGCTTTGGAACAACCTGTATCTAGAAATATATTCTCAGATAAAACTCGTAATGAAAAATCTACGCATGGACTTGTGTCTGATGTAGTTGGCCATAATTTATTAAGTCACAAGACTCACAAGGATACTGATATTCTTAATGAAGATGAAACTAAGGCTAATGTAAAGCGACTATGTGGCACAAAATTGTCTGCTGATTGGAGTTTGAAAACCAGAGTTCGGTTTACATCATCTCGCCCCTTTAACTGGTGTTCTAAAATGCTTGGAAAGCAAGAAGCTAGAGGGCTCTGTAAATTTGTTCAACACCAAGACCCAAACAGCGATGATGATTCCACATGTTTTCAACAGAACATTTTGTATTGGATTCACCCCATACTACCATGGCTATCCCTCTTCCCTCGGTTAACATCTGACATGAAGTTAACCAGCAAAGTACCAAATGTTGCTGAAAATCAAGATATTGCAGATGCCTTACAAGCCAGCTGGTGCCAAAGTTTTCGCTCGTTGTTTAATCTCCTCCGTTGTGGCAATTGTGATTATTTTTATCTCTGTTCGGCACAGTTCACAGTCCTGTTCCGAGCTGCAATGATTGGGGGTGTGGCCTCAACATCAGCATATGTCACCCCCACAACCAAGGGAATAAGGGAAGGTTTTGATAAAGAAGGTAAATAAATACTATATTATAAGATATGACATATCTATTAATCAAATAGTAGTTTCATACTTATTAATGGTAGAGCAGTTGTCTAGAAGCCCAAAGATGCAAATTCGAATCCTGCTCAAGACGTTTTTTCTTTGTTCTGTGCAGTGTCAGAATAAATATGAAACTAATTTTTTGTATCTGTGAGGATGGTTCAGAAATTTAATCAAATAGTCTCAGAGAATAAAGTATAAATAGAGGTGGAGGCATAGAGCTGTTCAATGTACAGATATACCAATTATCACCCCACTAAAAATTCCTACAGGAATTCCTGTAGAAATCTGAAGTTTAGATTCCTATACAAATTTCTATAGAAATAAAATTGAATTTCCTGTAAGAATTTAGCCTGCAAGCAGGTGTTTATTTTAGAAATAAATACCTGCTCGCAGGCTATTAAGAATTTTTCCCTAAAGGAATTCCTATTGGAATTTATAATCTGAAATTCCCATTAGGCTTTCCTATAGGAATTTTTCACCAGTACTGAATCCAATATTGGTATAATGTTGAGTTTTGGTGATGTACCAAATTTATGAAATACTAGCCCCATGCCCTCTTTCCTTTGGTCAAACGTTAACTCATTGATATACCACATGTTTCTCCATTGAGATAGACCAAAAATTACAAACTAAAGTAAGGCAGCATCATGTAACATAAAAAACTGCTAAAACATATTTTCTATAAAATTAATTGATTTACTCAT